GAGTGGTGGCCTGAGCTCTGAACAGCTTAACCCTAGGAATGCGAGAGTGGCCTATTGGTGTAGGATTTGGGTGGCCTTGCTTGCTCAAGTCCTGGGGTCTCAGGTGTCTCTCACAGACCCAGACAAAGGTCCAGACCAGATGGAGTCTGATATGCTTGCTCCACAGATAAGAAAATGGGAGGTAGATACCTGAGGGATCAAGATGTCAGGAGTTCTCCAAACCACAGATGTCAGTCAGGAAGAAAGAGCCCCAGGCCCTCTCCTCGTAGGACCTGTTGTTCCTGTTTGTTGGGTGAAAGTCCCATGTCCTGAGCAAACAGGAATGGTTGGTCACCCTATTGCCTGGCTATACACTGAACTGCAGGCCAAGGACCTAGAAATGACTAGGTTATCAGGGCTGTGGGGGGGAGCCTGGCAGCTGGCCGGCTACAAATCCAACGGTTCATCATATTGCCTTCTGCCTCCAGGGGGAACGATGACAAGGCAGCCAGATAGCTACCAGAGGGAGACCGTGTTGAGGGTAGCACAGGTGCAAATGGCTTTTTCTCTCTCTGGGCCACCTCTCCTGAAGCTCAAGGGGTGATGCCAGGCCCACCTGAATGGAACACTCAGAACTTGCTACCCCATTGATTTCTTAATTATGAGGAAGGAGAGAACTAACTTGATTTGCTCCCCAGTTTCCTGATCCTTGGGCTCTTGTCAGCCCTGCTGCAGCTTTGGGCCACGTTCTCTCCGCAGTTTTTCCATGATTCCTGGTTCAGGCTCCCGCCAATCCAGGGACCCACGAGGCCGAGGATGGAGTGCTGTGAAAGGCCTCAGCCACATCAGTTCTCAGGAAGCAATAAATAGATGCAGGTTGTCTTCTATTACTTTAAGGCCAGCGACTAGCTCTCAGCACTAGAAACAAGGCCTCAAACCATAGGAGCCAGAAAAATGCTCAGCGATGCTCAGCCACGGACTCAGAAGATACCGAGGATTTGAAGGTAACTTGGAGGCATGTGTTCCCTAAAAAGCCTCCGAGGAGTCCAAAGGTGGCAAAGATCCCCCCACCACCCCTTTCCCCAAATTACAAAACTCAGAGTGTGGGAGGATCTGCCCAAGTTTGCACAGAAACTGTGAGTGCCCAGAGTCTGGGCTCCAGCCCCTGTCTCGCCTTCTTCCCCTGGGCATTCCAGGGCCACTACTGCTCTAAGCTATCTATCCCGGACTGCTGCACCCCCTCCCACCATGCACTGTTTGGCCCACCCACCCCCAGTTCCCCAAATTTGGCCTCCCATGGGCCTGTGGGACTCTCTTTCCTTAGGGTGCCAGGCCAGGTGGCCTCTGTCCCTTGCTGGGTGGGCATGAGGAGCAGGGTCTAAGGTGGGGGGGCCCGAGCACCCTCCGGAGACATGAGCATGTCAAACTTGATGAGTGGCGGGGCAATGACGCGCACCTCGGCGTTCAGTGGGTTGAAGCGGAGGTTGATGCTGCGTAAGGCAGGCATGGCAGCCAGCTTCTCCACGGGCACATCTGTTGGGGAGAGAGGGACAGGTTAGCGATCCTGGGGCCAAGCAGGCAGAGAAGGACGACGGAACAATAAGAATGACACTCCTCTGCCTGGGAGGCCAGAGCACATGGTGGGAGCAGCTCTCCATCACCCACTGCACATGGCTCAGCTCCTGGCGCCCAGCCCCGGGTGACAGGCCCTCAGGGCCCACCAGGGCATTGCAACCACATGCAGAAAAACATCCCAAAAATAAAGTTAAACACAGAATTACCATTTATCCCAGCAATTCCACTCCTAAGTAGAGATGAAAGAATTGGAAACAGGCCCTCAAATACTTGTGCACAAATGTTCACAGCAGCACTATTCACAATAGCCAAGTGTCCATCAACGGATGAATGGAGAAAGAAAATGCGGGGACACGTTTTAAAAGTATGCAAATATCCTGCTCCATAGCAAAATTTTAGTGTCAGTTGCCCCTACATTTAACATCCGCTGATGGTTCTTGCCGGATCTGTTCTTCATGTTGGTTACAAAATGATGACTTTCCAACTCCAGCAGTCCCTCAGCATTACTCTAAGCAAGAGCCTTCCCTTCTCTCTATTTATTATCAATATGGACTCCTATGTTTCTAGTGGTTTACACGTCATTATTTAATTATCTTGGTACTCACATTGTCCCAAATTTGGCCAGTGGGAGCCACCCTTTCAATCTGGCTCCGGTGACCTTTGACATGCCCTAGCACTTTTTAGATGCAGTTCCTTATTTTCCAGTAAGGCCCATCTAGAGCCTTCTTCACTGCCCGAGCCCTGGAATCAGCCATCAGGAAGCCCTTTCAGTGGGGAAGTGTGTCAGTGTCCAATACTAATGGAGCTGGTGACTAACCCATATTTTACAATCTACCCACAAGGCCCCTGTATGTCTGATCTATTTGCTTTTGACTGCTGCCTAGAACACCATCCTGTGTCCCCACCATACTCTATCTCTCCGCTCTGACAGCGATGGACACCCAGGTGACCTCCATCTGTCTTTAAGTGCTAGTGAGACACTGTCTTTGGATGTTTGCCCTGCAGGGTTGACTGCTCTGTTTAAGGCTATGTGTGTGTACTTCATCTAACTGCTCTCTAGAACTCCTGAGTAGACCAGGAGCTCCGGTCACCCTGCTGCCCCGGGGCTTTCAAAAGAGGCTGCCTGGACCTGCCTGCCCCTACCTCCAGGCTGACGGACATGGAGCCCCTAACCTTCAGGGAGGGTTCTGCAGTTTCCTTCCCTTGACATGCCTTGGAGCCCTGCAGTGAGGAGTAGGCAGTGCCTGGAAGGGGTGAGAAGAGCCCAGGCTAGGCTGTGCTTTCCACCCATTGGAAAGAGTCCCTGTGACTGAATCCCCTGAAAACAGATACACTCCTCCCCTCTGGGCTTGGTAACTGAGGTACATCTACCCCCTAGCTCTTCTGGGGAAAAGAAAGGAGACACCACTAGCCCAGGACAGTTCCTCATATGTGCATGTCACTGAAGTTTATAAAGCACTTCCATATTTGACCCTCCCATAGCCGTGGGGATAGAGCAGCACGAATGCTCCTCTGCCCACTGTACAGATGAGGAAACCAAGGCTCAAAAGACTGACACTCAAGGGCACACAGCTATTAAGCACCAGAGCTGGGGCCTTGCCAGGTTTACTGCCAGCTGGCCCACAGCGAGATCCACAATGTTCATGCCCAGATGGGTCAGGTGGGGATGGGAGGGAAGAAAGCAACCTACAGGCTTCAACCTGAATTGGCAGGTGACTCAGCACCCAGGGGAGTTCCCAGGGGCTTCTTCTCCCCAAAGCTGCAGCCCAAGATGTTCCCAGCAAGGTGGGAGTTTGCAGAGATTTAGATCTCCAGGATCGTGGTGTCAGATCAAATTTTGTTGTTGATGGTAGTTGGTTTTTTTGTTTAACTGACATTTATTAGATCTTTAAGTTGTTTTTTAATCCTCACAATAGCCATGTGAGTTAAGTACTATTATCTCTATTTTATAAATGAGGACAATGAAGAGCAGAGAGGTTAGGTAACTTGCCTCCCATATGGCTTTCTGGCCTGGCATGCCCCCCTCCACCAGCTGTGAGAACCCTCCAAGGCAGGCATCCCCAATCCCCTGGGGCCAGGGACCCATACTGGTAGTGGCCTGCTAGGAACTGGAGGTGAGTGACGGGCAAACAAGTGAAGCTTCACCTGTATCTGCAGCCGCTTCCCAGCACTAGCATCACCACCTCAGCTCCACCTCAGATCATCAGGCCTTAGAGTCTCATAGGAGCACCGGTCCCTGGTGCCAAAAAGGTTGGGGACCACTGCTCCAAGGGGTCCCCTTAGTTATGAGAGATTGAAAACAGTCTTTCTGCAGGGCTCCCTGGGACCCAGGAGCGTCTGGCTTCCCCTGACCAGGACATTCACACCTCTCTGGTCCCCCCAGCCAGGAAAAGCTCCCTCCCACCGCTCAGGAACTTTAACTCCAACAAGAGCCAGGAGCACAGAACACAGAATCTCTGAGATCTCTAAGGTTCCCACGACAGGCATTTCCTTGCTGATCTGCCGTGTGTGAAAGGGTTTCCTGGAGATGTTATCAAACTGGTTCTGGAATCTTCCATGCCTCCTGGTTCTGCTCTGGGCTCTGGGTCACAGTGCATAATAGACCTATTCCTTCTTGTCCATGACAACACTTCTGAAACTTGTAGCCCATTGACCACCATCTTCTTCAGGCAAACACTCCCAGGCAAACACTTCTTGTGATATTAGGTGAGGAGAGGTGGTTAAGATGCTAAACAGAGCTTTGGTGTCAGAAAGATAAGATTGGCTTTTCCAGTAACTGACTGTGTTGCCCTAGGCAGGAACTCTGAACCTTAGCTTTCTTATCTATAAAATGGGAGTCACTCTGGTCACCTCGCAGGGAGGCAGTATGCCAGCTCAGTGCTCCAGCAACACACACTCAACAAGTGTAGGGCCCCCTGCTTCCTGTTGCTAGTCTGGTGGAGCACACCAGCCAAGCACCATCTCAATCTCTGAGGACATGCCCTAGTTTCTTGGCATGCAGACACCAGCCCCAGAGCTTGGCCAGCAACGTCTCAGCTGGATTTCACCACTGAGATGAAAGATCATGTGGAAAGGAAAGAGGTGTTGAGCCTCAGACTTCTCCTAAAAGCACTACAGCTCCTGAGCCCCTCACTCACACTCACAGGTCAGAAGCCCTGGATGTGGTCTCTGCTGAGAGAACCAGAAGTTCCCTTAAGGTACTCATTTACATGGAGTACTGGCCAGGACTGTATAGATCATATCAGAGAGACCATCAGAGATGGGAGGACCCCTAGTTCAACCCCTTTTGGAGAAACTGAGGCATGGAGTGCTGGCCAGGACTGTATAGATCATATCAAAGAGACCATCAGAGCTGGGAGGAAGTTAAGGAAACTGAGGCACAATGGGAGGAAACAACTTTGGCCCAGATCACCCAGCCACTGGGCAGCCAGGCTGATGCTGAGATGGAGGACACACTTAGACCACAGAGAAGCGATGTGTAGGAGTCCCCTCCGCCCCCGCCGCTTTCCCCCCACCTCACCCTGTGAACCAGCAGCTAACCCCCCACTCAGGAGTTCACCCTCCCTTAGCACCTTGGGGCATCCTGGCTCTGATCGCCCTGAGGGCCAGGCTCTGTTTCTTAGCTCAGGGGCCCAGTCCCTTGGCATGCCCTGGGAGCACCGGGTTCCTCATCCTCCACTGCCCAAGTGATGTCTGATCACCCTTGCCTTCAGCAAGAATCCTGTGAGGTCATTTGGCCAGAATCTCCCCTTACCCATGATGTTTTTCCTCTTAGTAATTTTCTATCCACTGATTCGCGCCTCCCACCCCCCACCCCCCGCTCCTCGGCTATAAATTCCCAATTTTCCATGCTGTATTTACAATTGAGCCCAGTTCTATTCTGAGGTCTCTTTTCTCTCACTGCAATAGTCCTGCAAAAAAATCTGGTTTTCTTGCTTTAACTATTGTTCGGCTCTAGTTTTTCCTTGACAGTGCCTAAGGTCATCAAGCCAGTGAGTGGTGGAGGCTGGACAGTCCCTAATCCCAAAGTCCATGTGATTCATCCCACAACACAGAGGGGCAAGGCCAAGGCCAGATCCTATCTCTGGCTCCTCAGCTCCCAGAAGGTAGTCACAAAAGGGAGGTTTCAAGGGGCAACTCACTACGGGCTGGACCTTGGGCTGAGGGTGTCATAATCTCAACTGTTAATATAGTCTCACTTTGGGGATGGGGGCTGAGGCTCAGAGTTGCTCTCACCCCATCTCCCCACCTGCCACTGGGACCACTGGTTCTGCCTCAGTTTCTCCAAAAGGGGTTGAACTAGGGGGCTGCTAAGGAGTTTTCTCTCTGAACTCTGTGGCTCCATCACTCAGCCAGGGAGGCAATCAGCCTATAGAGTTGCCAGTGCTCATGAGGGTGGTAGGAAGGTCTCTATGGGATGCCCCTGCCCTAACTTTGCTGCATGGCATGAAGACCAGCTGCAGCCCAGCCTTGGAACAAATCCCTATGACCCCAGGCCTAGAGACAGCAGCATTGCTTGAGTTCTCAGCCTATCATTTCCACATCTACTACTTAGCTATAGGCCTTCATAGGTACAAGACAGGGATTAGATGCATCTCTTTCTCCTGACTTAACTGCTAAAGTTGTTTGAGCTGCTTAGAGGAAAGAGCAATGGAACCACCAGACTACGTCAAAGGCTGGCAGAATCAAGAACCCAGAGCAGCCAGGCTAGCAAGCGACAAGCCCAAGAGGCCAACCTAGAATTTCTGGATAAAGCTTAAGAAGATTGTATACACTCGCAGCTTCCTGACAACAGGGGCAGATGGCTGGAGGGTGGAGAGGAGGATATGAAATGATCTGCATGACAACAGGGGCAGATGGCTGGAGGGTGGAGAGGATATGAAATGACCTGCGCTTTGTGGATGGGGAAGCTGAGGCTTGGCGAGGTTAAATAAGCTTCCCAAGGCCACAGGGCACAG